ACAGAGGCAGTTGTCCGGGTAGTGCGTGAGGTGAGCCAGGGACAGAAAGTCATCCGTGTGGTCCTCAAGAGAGCGTTCCCCCTGCTCCAGCAGGAGGATTTGGAAGGCGGGGTAATCCATAACACGAAAAAATAAAAACTGACAAAAAAACAGAAAAACAAACGAGGGGGAAGACGCCGCTATACTTTACTTTTGGGTCGGTTATTCTGTCACGGTCAAGGTGTGTGGAGGCAGGCAGGATGACGAGGACGACCAGAATTCAAATAAGGACATTTAATGGAGCGACAACAAGGCAGACGAGACATACACACTCAGGGTAACATTCACAATAACCGACCATACTAGACAACAAGAGACAGGAACTTATAGGGCAGATAACGAGGGGCAGACAGGTGAGCACACTGAGGATAATTAACTGATAATGAGGACAGGAACAACTAAATAAGGACACAGAGGGAGAAACCACTACAAACAGACCACAGGGGTGTTACATCTAGGGTACTATAATAATACTACATTTCTCCTGTCTTGGACAGTAAAACCGCGAGTGAGACTCATCAAGAAAGCTTTCTCAGATTCTGGAGGGTTTCGTGTGAGTTGTTTGGCAACAGGATTTTACCCTCGTCACATCAACCTGACCCTGTTCAGAGACGAGCAGCCTGTAGCTGATCATGAGATCACTGGAGGAGATCTGCTGCCCAATGCTGACGGGACGTACCAGATGAGGAAGAGTCTGGAGATCAGAGCTGCAGATAAACACAGATACACCTGCTCTGCCACACACCTCAGTCTGGACAACAAACTGGACATTGATTTGGGTATGGTCATTAGATTATTTATTTAGTTTCAATGCTTAAACCTGATTGACTTCATTCTTCTTTTTGCTACGTTTGGAACCATTTCATTCAACAGACAAAAGTAACTGGTAAAAAATGTATGTTAATTAACTTCATACTTCAGAGTGTCAAGGGGAAACATTTAAGCAGGTGATTTCCTCAGTGCTTGTGGTTTTGGCATTGGGACTGGTGTTGATGACTGTGATTGGCGTTTTTAAATGGAGGAGAAGGCGTCACTCAGGTAATACATGACATGTCCTAGACAAAACATATTAGATTCATTCAGACTATAGAGATCTATCAATAAAAAAATGCTGTCCATTTTATGTATAACTATTTTCCTGTTTTGTTGTAGCTTCCTCCACAAGTGACTACTCTTCTGCTTCTAGTGAGTATTTTCTGTTTGTGTTTGTGTAATGTTTTGTGGTTCTGTAAATGTTTTAGCTTTCTCACACCTATTATTATTGGTACTTGCATTAGAGCATAATATGACTCATTAATTTGCATGAAGAATAACAACAATATTGATTTGTCTGAATATTTTTTAACCAATATTCTTTCTAATTTCATTTTCAGCAACTGAAGACAATGTGGATAAAACATAATTAAATTAATGGGCAAGTAAATATGTAGCCTATAGATGCATATAATATTAGAAAGTACTGATAACAATATGCATAAATAGAATATAATAGCAGTGGCACATGCATATTCCTTTCATGGTCATTATATTTCCATTTGTAGTTTGTGTGTACTAATAGCCTTGTTAAGATCAACTGGCTGGTGCTTTTTCTTTACATGGATTGTCATTAACAAGCTCATATGAGTCAGATTGTGTAATCTATCAGAAAGTTATATATTGATGCGATTTGACATCTGTTTGTTTGCATCAGAAACAAAGATATAGACATTTTACACAAACAGCAGCTCCATTATATCAATAAGTCACTGCATGCTACATATGTACATATTAAAATGTAAGTGTCAGTGACTACATTTTTCTTCTGAATGGCACATTAGGTAGAAATTTGAACTAATTAAAAAAATTATCACGTTTGAAAAAGAAGTGGCAAAAAGTTGTCATGTAATGATCAACTGAAACGACAGCATCTTGTTTTGACCTGTGTGTATATAATGTATTTTCCAAAGTTTGTAACCCTAAACAACCTGACATAACTCAGATGTTCACTGATCATACTCCAGGAAATAAAACTTGCAAGACTAGCTTCATACTTTGTTATCTGACTCTTACACTCAATGTTGCTTTAGATATTAGATATAAACATTTTCATGACCTTTGGATGGCTTTTCACTAGCCTGAGAGAGAAGGACAGTTGTTTTCCATCTGTTGTGGTGAATCACTGAAGGTTGTGAATGTTGGACAATACTGGACATTGTCTTGCAAGTGTCCCTGTGGCTCATCCAGACACCAGGTTTCTGAAAGCAGACCAGTCTCAAGCCTCTCTGAAGTATCTTGTGAGTAGCATCTTGGTGTTGCTTCATGGTTGAAAGTCTCCTCAGACTGTTCCAGCTGAGCAGAAAGATATGAGATGTAGCTAATAGTGAGGCGAAGGGTCTCAATCTTGGTCAGGGTTTGTCCAGCAGGAGCCACTGAAGGAGGTAAGTAGGTTCGGAGATGATGGAGAGCCTTGGTCAGATCTCTCATCCTGAGCTTCTCTCTTTCACTGGCCGTCTGACGCTTCACTCCAGGGTTTTTAGACCTGGAACGTCTCTTTCCATCAGCCGGTAGAGTTAATCTGAGTTTTTTGGCTGGTGCGCAGTCGATCCCAGCGGCCTCTGGCTGTCTTCCAGCTCCCCAACAGCTCGCAGGAGGCGAAAAACATCCAGAATCAATGGAGGAACTTGGAGAAAGGCTGCCACAGGCACTGAAGTACCCAGCATCAATGGTGGTAGATGATCGCTCGTATTCAAACTGGCATTTGGCTCCCTGGAGCATATAAGGAGAAAAGTTCAACTCCATGGTTGTGATCTTTTCAAAGCAGAGGAAATGTTTCCTTCTCGTTCTCTGGTACCTGAGTGAATGCTAAAGAGCTGGAGGCTCAGCCCAATATATCCTGGATGTAGAGGTGTGATGTTGCACCTCCAGAAGGCGCTTAAGAATTTCAAAGCGGCAGAGAGACATCACACCAGGGGCAGGGGGTCTCTGGGAAAACTCACATCACTTCCAGCACAGGTGGGAGGTGGCGACTGCAGCAGTAAAATAACATTCACTGCCACAGGACAAGTTCAAGATAGATTTAGATTTAAAGCCTGGGGATTTTATTTATGGAAATAATTTTGATGTGAGTTTTTGGGCGCTGTGTACTTCTGTATTGAGTTCAGTACTACATACCACATCATTAAAAAAAATCAGTCAATTTCCATTCCAGTCAAACCAGTCAAATGTGACATTTTAGTTATTGTTTAGTTTTAATCAACAATGCAAAGCCAGTCAATCAAAACTGTGCCATGCAATTTTATTTTTCACCTTCAAGTCAGGTCTTGATGCATTTTATAGCTTTTTTGCATTTTCAGAAATATATATAAATTGGTTAGAAATGTATTTATTTATTGATTTTCTTATTTAGAAATGTATTTATTTAGATTTTTTATCCATTTATTATGGACCCTTTTCACAAGACTGTGATGACGCATTTAACGGTAAAAGTTTTTATATTTAGATTTTTTTTTAAATGTATGTGTATTTATAACACTATACTTTGTATTATATCACCTTTGCATCAAATTACGAAAAAACTAGTAAACGCTAATGCGAGGGTGTTTCTAATGCAGCGTCTATGGGATGGAAAGTAAATTTGACATTGTTCTCTCTTCTGACTGTCGTTATCAGTCTCTCTCCTTTTGTTTTTCTTTTTTGAAAGTCATGAAAACACTATCGTGGAGTTTTTCTTTTG